GAGCTGATTTAACCAACCTCATGGGTTTCATGGGAAGATTAAGTGAGAGAATGAAAACCAGGCCCGTAATCCCAGACTTGGGAGGCCAAGGCAGGAGGATCAAAAATTCAAAGCCAGCCTGGGCTGCACCATGAGACCCTGTCTCAAACAAACAAAGAAAAACAAAAAAAACAGGAACAGCCAAGGCAAAATCCCTGAGCCACAATGAGTGTTACGTGTTTTTGGAACAAGAAAGTGGTCAGTGTGGCTGGAGTGGAGTGAGGAATGGACAAAGGGTATATGTGGTGTGGGAGGATGGATTTTGATTTTTAAGTGTTATCAAAAAGAAGGGACAGCCAGACACTGGTGACTCACGCCTACAATCCTAGTTACTCAGGAGGCAGAGATCAGGAGGATCCATAAGACACATCACAAAAAAGGGCTGGCAGAGTGGCTCAAGTGGTAAGACCACCTGCCTAGCAAGTGTGAGGCCCTGAGTTCAAACCCCAGTGCCTCAAAAAAAGAAAAGGAAGACAATTGAATCTGAATTCAGGGATACAATGTGAATGGCTTTGTAATATAACATAACTACAATAAAATGTACTAATTTTCCAGGAACAGCTCAATGAGTTGCTCCACACTTGTGAAATGCTGGCGATACGTTCATGATAGAAAACATTTCTAAAGCCCCAAAGGGCTTCTGCCTGTCCCTGCTCAAGCAAATTCTCTCCCTTTCTTAGTAACCACTGCTTTCAGTTCTCTCCCCATAAATTACTTTTGTCTGTTCTTGAACGTCTCTTAAACGGAATCCAACAGCATGGAGTTCTATGTACCTAGCTTCTTTTACTCATTATTAAGTCTGTGAGAGTCATTCATGCAGGTAGTAGTAGTTTGTTCTTTTAATTGCCATGTAGTATTCCATAGTGTGAATATACCACAATTCATTTGTCCCTTAACCTGTATGGACACTATTTTTTTTTCCCCCAATTCCTTCCTTTCTTCCTTCCTCACTTCTTCCCTCCCTTCCCTTCCTTTCTTTGGCAGTACTGGGCCCTCTACCACTTAGGCCATGCCCCTGTCCTTTTGTTTGTCTTTTGTTTTTGAGATAGGGTCTCACTAACTTTGTCCAGGCTGGCCTCTGCCCCACAAGTAACTGGATTACAGGCATGAACCACCACACCTAGCTTTTCCTTTTTTTTTTTTTTGAGACAAGATCTCACTGCATATAGCCCAGGCTGCCCTCAAACTCATAATCTTCCTGCCTCCACCTTTTAGTCCCAGTATTACAAGTGTGTGCCACCACACCCAGCTTGCAGCTTGTTTTTCTTTCTTTCTTTTTCTCTCTTTCTTTTTCTTTCTTTCTCTTTCTTCTTTCTTCCTTTCTTCTTTCTTTCTTTCTTCTCTTTCTCTCTCTCTCCCCCCCAACTCCCTTCCCTTCCCCCTTTTCTCTCTCTCTCTCTCTCTCTCTGTCTCTCTCTCCCAGGGCCCATGCATGGTCAGCAAGTACTCTACCACTGAGCTACACCCAACCCTCTAATTTCTTTGTCATGAGTAAAACTGCTATGATAGCTGGAGGCATGGCTCAAGCAGTACAGCACCTGCCTAGCAAGCATGAGGTCTTGAGTTCAAACCCCAGTACCACACACATGCAGAAAAACAAAACAAAACAAAAAAAACTTGCTATGATCATTGTTATAAATGTCTTTGGTGGACACTGCGCTAATTTCTCTTGGGTATAACCCTAGGAATGGAAATTCTAAGTCATAGGTTAGGTTATATAACCTAGTTTTAGTAGATGTTTCTAGTTTTCCAAAGTAGTGTTACTAATTTACATTCTCATCAGTAACATAAAAATTCTAGTTCCAGGACTGGGCACCAGTGGCTCACACCTGTAATCCTAGCTATTTAAGAGGCAGAGATCAGGAGGATCAAGGTTCAAAGCTAGCCCAGAAATAGTTTAAGAGATCATATCCTGAAAATACCCATCACAAAAAAGGGCTGGTGGAGTCAAGTTGTAGGCCCTGAGTTGAAACCCCAGTACCACAAAAAAAAAGAAATTTCAGTTCCTCCACATCTTCACTGACACATGATGGCTAATCTTTTTCATTTTAGCTATACACAATCAGATTAAGGTTTTTAAAAGAACACCCTGGATGCAGTGTGGAGCCCTGACTGGTAGCAGAGAGGGGTGGGCTGGGAGTGGGAGCTTCAAGGTCAGGTAGGAAGGAGGCTAACGTAGTCATCTAGGGAAAATGTGGAAATGGTTGGTCCCTGACTAGGTTGGTCCCAGGGGAGTTGTAGAGAAATGGATCAGGACATGTTCTGGAATTGTAACTGATGGGACTGACTAATAAGATGAATGAGTGAGAGTGGGAGAAAAGAGGCATTGAGGTTGACTCCTAGAATTTTTTTTTTGGTTGGGGGACAGTAGTGGCGTTTGAGCTCAGGTTCTCATACTTGCTAGGCAGGGGCTCTACCACTTGAGCCACACCCCCTAACCCTTTTATGCTTTGGCTATTTTTTCAAATAGGGTCTTGTGTTGTATTTTTGCCTGAGGACAGCCTCAGACCATGATCCTCCTATCTATGTCCTCTTGCATGGCTGGAATGACAGGCACAGGTCACCAGGCCTGGCTAATTATTTATTTATTTATTTTTAGGCAGCCTAGTTTTGAATGTGTGATCTTGCCTTAGTGCCTCGAGTGATGCAATTACAGGTGTGCACCACCACATCTGGGTAAATCCTAGAGTTTGCCTTGAAAACTTGGGCAAATGAGGACCATTTTCTGAGATGAGGGACAGACAAGCTGGAGGGCTCATCACTGCTATTTGAGCATTCCATGTCTCCTGGAGCTAACATAGGCTCTGTGTGCACCTGTCTTGGCACTGACTAGGCTCCTAAGTCTGCCTCCCCTCTTGCCCTGTAACTTGAACTTTGTGCTGGGACTGCTCAGCCTCCACCTTATATCTTACAGAGTTAGAAGTAAGCATGATCACATATGGACTCCACCTAGAGCACACAAGAACGAAAACACTCACTCTTCTAAGGTCCAGGCACCAGTGACAGGTTGGCACCATTTCCTCTCACCCACATTTTTCTCATCCTTCTAGACAGCCCTGCAAAGGGCCCTTGAGCCATGGGAAGCCTTCTTCTCTTCCTCCCTCAGCCCTTCCCCAACTTCAAAAAAACAGAATGGAGAGCAGCAGGCGGTTGATTCATAGACTTTATCGGCTTTTTCTCCACCCGGTGGTTTCTGCAATGACAACCAAGCCTGTACAATACACACAGTTCACACCATTAAAGCTGTGGAACACAGGGTGGGGGCAGGAGCCCCTGGGAAGCAGCAGGGCAGGCATCAAGGCCAGGGCAAGCAGCAGCCAAGACTGGGCTAAGGGGTGTCAGTGTTCAAGGAAGGCTGGGGTGCGGGGAGCTGGGAGTGAGAAGAATGCTGAGGGCCTGGGCTGCAGGGAGAAGAGGGGTATGAGCAGCTGCGGGGAGCTGGAGGGGGCCAGTATCACTGGAGGGCTGGGGGGGGTGGTGCCTGTATATGTCCATGAACATTTTTTTGCAACAGGAACCAGATAGCTGTATAAAAGGGACTGTACAACATAACCTATCATACAATGTTTACATATGATACAAGGCCCTTTCCCTCTTTGAGTTTCAAAAAATAAATGTACAATTCCAGAGCTTTGGGTAAAAAATATATACACTCCCAGAGCAGGAGCGGCTGCCATGTCTGCTGCTGCTGCTCACTGCTGTCTCTTCAGAAGGGAAAGAGGAGGTGCCGGGAAGGGGGGGGTGAGGCTGCGCCAGGAAACCTCACTTAGTAGCTGCCAGAACCCCCTGCACTCCTCAGCCCTGGAGTCTGTGGTGGGAGAGGAAGGAGAGACAGAGAGGTAATAAAGGCCTTACCAGAGTTCAGTTTCACCTTTACAGTCTCTGCCATCCACCCTCTCCCCACTTTTGGCGGGCTGCCTGCCCTAGGTACACGGATCCACCCTACCGGGGCTCTATAGGGAGGACAAAGGGGAGTAGTCAAGACAGAGAGGGACAAAAGACTATGTTGTTGGTGTCAGACACAAGAGCCAAAAGGGGGGTTGGCAACTCCCTTCTTAGCAGTGAGACACCTAAAAGTAGAAGTGTGGGGAGCAGGCACCCCTAACTCCTGATACTGCCACACCTCACCCTGCTGCAAGGCAGAGGGAGAGTCCTATCGGCAGTTTAGGCCTGTGTTTCCCTGAGCATCTTTTACCCTCTCATTTAAGCCTACCCAGGATCTTAGGGAGGCCTAGGTTGGGGACTGACAAGGGCTGATGGGTAACCCTCCTGCCTGCTGCTGCTCCCTGCCTGCAGCAGCAGCTTGGCCCACAAGCCTGGGTAGGGCAGCAGCAAGAGCTGATCAGGGAGTTGTGGGGTAGGGAAGCACAAGGGTAGCACCAAACAAAAGGAATTCCCCCAGCACTCACGACCCTCTCCCTCCATTATTAGATGCATTCCTGCTCCCTAAAAGGGTCACACACACACACACACACACACACAGCAATATATTCTAGGGCAGTGTAGGAGGTAGGGGGAAGGGGAGCGGTGTACATACAGGGCTCCCAGCCCTGAGCAAGGGTTAAGTCAGACAGGTGGTGGTAGGGAAGAAAGCAGTCAGTCCCTCCCATGATGCTGCTCTCTGAGCCAGGAGGAGGCAGTTTCCTTCCTGCTTGGGAAGAGGAGGCTGGAAACTCCATTTCTGGAACAGATCTCACTGGGAAGGGACAGAGGAAGGAGCTCTCTGCCCTCTTTCCTGGAGAGGGCAGGAATCAGCAAAATATGGTTTGGGCTTGAAGGAATAAGGGCAACTTCAGCAGGATGAACAGGCTTAAGTCGTCTAAGTCCATCTGACTCTCCCTGTGGGGCAGGAAGTTGCTCCAGGAGAAAGATATCCGACATGAGTTGATTGGGACATCACGCAAAGTGCTTGAGTACCAGGTGCCAAGGACCCTGGTGGGGACAGTGGGGCCCTTCCACTCTCACTGATTATTAGCCTCCAGCTTGTAGGAAAGCTCAAAGAGTAGGTTCTGGTTGTCGATGACCTGGAACTGGCGCACATAGGCCTTGGTCTGCAGGTGGTGAGGGGAGGCCTCCATGTCCAGGCCTGGGGGTTAGGGAGGGAGAGGTGGTCAGGGTCCCAGCCTCCCTTCTTTCTCTACACATGCATAGTGCAGAGTAGAAGGGTGTGGATGGGGACAGGTGTTGGCAGAGGCTCAAGGAGAAAATGGAGAACTGACCAATGTAAGGAAATACACGTTTGAGCAGGAAGTTCTCCCAGAGCCCTCCCACTCAGCCAGATCTCAACCCAAATGCCTCCCAGAGCCCTGGGTACTCACAGAGGGGCCGACTCCGGTATTTGCGGATAGTCCTCACTTTCTCGGCCACTGAATGCTGGGAGATGACAAGGAATAAGCCCCAAAAGGGCACAGAAAGGTCCTTCCCCATCCATTCTCCCAACTCAGTTGGTTTTTCTCTCTCCAGTCCCTAGTTCAGGGGGACCTCAGAAGGACCAAAGGAGGTGGGTGTAGCAGGCCACTGGGAGAGAGTGAGGTAGAATTGCTCCCAAGCTGCCTGTTAGCTTTGCCACCTGTGGGTGTATTGCCACAGTGATGCCACCAGAGAGACAGTTGGGAGTCTGTTAGGCAAGCTGGGCACCGGGGAGGAAGGCTGCTATTTTAGGGAGGTGACAGGACAGAGGGAGAGGATGCAGCCCCTCACTCATGGGATGGGCTTGGCAGGGCCACTCACCAACTTTTCGATGTTCACCAAACCATCTACAAGGGTCTTACTCCCCTCGTGCAGGAAGGTCAGGTCTAGGGGTGGCAGATGGGGAGAGAGTTAAATGTGAGTACAGGACAGGAGAAAGGCCAAAGGGCCAATGCCCCCTTCCGCTCCCCCAGCACCCATTCAGTTGGGGCAGGGTGGGGGGGCTCATCTGCAAGTGAGCACTTGGAGCTGAGCTGAGAAGGGTACTGAGTCAGAAATGGGCCATGGGAGAAGGGACTGTGGATAGGAGCTGCACAACATGGGGGTGACTCTCTCACCTTTGAGGATCAGAGGCACGAAGGGAATCACAGGGGGCTTCATTTTGGAGATCACTTCTCGATAACTTTTGTGGTTCCTGCAGGGGTCCTAGATCCCACAGAAGAGGATCAGAGACAGATGGACCCAGTGTACCCCAGAGATGTCTTCCACTCTCTCCCTCATCCCTCTGCCCTCAATTTGATGGGTGGGGAGAGATATATGGATGCCTAGCTAAGGATGTGGTAGGAGGGGCTTGACTGCCCTCCCCTCTCCTCCTTCTTCTGCCTGGATGGTAGGAAGGGGCACTAAAAACCTTGAAAGGAAGCTTAAGGCAGAAGGTTTACCAGAACAGGGGTATAAGTCCAAGGACAGATGAGAGTCAAACCCACTTACCGTCAGGTTCTCAAATTTGCGGAACAAGTTCTTGAATTTCCCTGGCAGCTTCTGCAGAGTTTGAAGGAAGGAGAAGGAATGTCACAGTGCAGCTCCTTAGGTTTCAAGGGAGCTTCTGACTAATTCCCGGATGAGAGGGGGTAAGGACTTGCATATTTTGCAGAAGGTTGGAAGCTGGTGAGTAGGGAGGTAGGATCAGCCTTTGGCCAGGTTGGGGAGATTGCAACCTGGAGGGATAGATTATTCTGGGGAAGGTGAGACCTCTGCTTATGCAGATGCCATGTGCAAAAGTGTCCCCGCTGAGTGCAGACTGAAACTCAGCCGAGTCCACTCACACTGGGATTTTGGCTTTTCACTAATTTGCACAAAGGCGTGAGCCCAGCTGTGTGCCCTGGGATTGTAGTTGCCAGAAGAGGGGGCCTGATTCCAAATGACACAAATACTCCCCACAGGCTGGCAGCAGCCCCGGGAGGCCACACTGGGGGGCACCCAGAATGCCCAAATCCCCTGGGCCAGGACAGTGGAAGGTGGAGGAGAAAGTGAGTAGGGGTCTTCTCACCTCCCAGGTGAGCCGCAGGCGGCTGACAGCAGCATTGTCTAACCCCATGACTACAGCATAGAAGGACAGCAGGTCCTGGTTCTGCTTGCAGCTGCAGGGGGTGGGAGGCCGGGTCAGAGGGCATCAGGTGGCTCCCCCTCACCACTTCCCCTCCCCCTCCACGCCCTGCACTCACATGGCTGCGATCTTGATAAACTTCTTGAGCAGCTGTGCACGCTTGCCTGGGGCTTCACAGAGCAACACTTCAGTGGCCACCCAGTGGGTGACCTCGCTGCAGCGTTGCAGCAGCAGCTCCAAGTTGGCTGTCTCCCGGCGACCACGCTCTCCGTGGAACACGTAGTCCACGAACTCCAGCTACACCCACAGTGGTGGAGGGGCAGCCAGGGCCCAGGGAGTAGGGTGGGGGTGGGGATTGGGGGGAGACAGCAACCCAGGTGTGAGGAGGGAAAGACAGAGCCCAGAGGGGAGTGGTTGGGGAAGGGTGGGTTGGGAAGGATAGAAAAACGGACAGGACAGGTTGCGACAGAAGCAAGCAATGTTAATACCATTCCACCATCTATTGAGCTCTTACTAGGTGTGAGTTAGGCATTTGTTAAAGTATGACTTATCCTCAAAACAATCATCTGAGAGACATTATTGTCACTACCTTTTTAAATTTCTTTAATAGTGAACATTTAAAAAATGCTAACTGACATAGAATCAGATTCTATGTAAGCAGCGCTTGGGCTATGGAGTCTCTCTGCTATTTTTTTTCAGATGAGGGGACAAAAGCTTAGAGAGGTTATGGCTGTGCATTGCCCAAGGGCATGCTGCAAGTGAGCCTTCCAACCAGGACATTCTGCTACAAATGAACACTGACTGCCAGCAGCATGTCTCCCTCCCACCCCTGCCGACGCCAGCCTCAGGCCCACCTCGTGCACACACCGGAACAGTTCCCAGTGGAAGGCAGTAAGGTGGTTAGCCACATCCTCCGGCTCCACTCGGTGGATTTCTGGGTCTCCAGGGGAGACCTGGATTTCCTCTGGGAGGGGCACCTTGTGGCAGACAAGGGGTAGAGGGGCTGGGCTCCCAGTAGCAGAGTGAGGGACAAGTGAGGGACTGGGAGCAGTCCTTGCTCTCAGCCAAGGCTTTGTGAAAGACTTCTTACCAGTGCCTCATAGCTGTCCCGGGTACAGGCAAACAGGTGGCTGTTGATGCCCAGTGTGGTGAAAACACAGTCCTCTGTTGGCTGGAGAAGGACCTTCTCTGCAGGAGAACAGACTGCTGAGCCTCAGCCCCAGCCACCTGCATGCTCACATACTCAAGCCACCATCACCATTCCCATCCAGAAGTTCCTAATCCCACCATAACACATTCTAGACTAATGGGACTCATCACCAGTTATTTATGTCATATTTATCTGAAATGTGTCAAATGATTCCTTTTCTTTTTTTTTTTTTTTTGCGGTACTGGAACTTGAACTCAGGGCCTTCACCTTGAGCCACTCCACCAGTCCAATTTTTTGTGATAGAGTTTTTCAAGATGGGGTCTCATGAACTATTTGCCTAGACTGGTTTCAAACTGCAATCCTCTTGATCTCTAAGCACCCTGTGTCTCCAGCCTGAAAAATGAGCAACTTAGATGCTCAGGGAGTAAAATCCCCAAGTGGATGAGAGGCAGCACCCAGGTCAGAACCTAAGCCCTGGATCAGTGCTTCATAAATTTTAATGTGCATAGGAATTCCCTGGAGGTCTTGTCCAAATGCAGATTCTGATCCAACGGGTCTGGGGTGGGCCTGAAATGCTACATTTTTAACAATCTCCCAGGTGATGCACACAAGGCCGGTCCCAGGATGACACACTGAGTAGCAAGGCTTGGAATTTAGTTTTTATCCCTGCCCAGGACGCTGACCCTCACCTCCAGAGGAGGCCACAGCTACAAGAATGAGGGAATCTTCACGCTCTGCAGGCTCCTCTGAGTACTGCAGCTTCTCCGTCACAGAGCCCAGAATATCCTGCACAGATGCTGAGAGGCGGCTTCGTATGGTCACGTAAGAGTGGTCAGGCATGTAGACCCGGCAGAAGACTGTGTAGGGACAAGAAAACAGCTTTACAAGATGGCATAGTGGCAGCCCTGACACAGGCCTCTCCAGGGTACTTTGTTCCATACCAGAGGCTGGCCTCTGAAGATGCTGGGAAAAGGGCTCATTCAACTACATGGGGAGACTCCACTGAAGGTGAAGACCTAGGTCCCAAGACTTAGGGACCCTGCATGTGCCCCAGAGCCACTCCCCTTGTAATGCCCACACTCACTCTCATCTGAGCCTCGGAAGGCTACTCGGGTCTGCAGACAGGAGTCTATCCGGCGGAAGTGGCGGAAGAGTGGCTTAACCTGCTTGCTGGATGGCTGACTCTCCTCTGGAATCCTAGCACAGACACAGCTGGGCATCAGCAAGCCCTGATGGGCATATGGAGCACTGGACAGGACCATTAAGTAGGGACATCAGAATTGGGTCAAGGATACACCAGCTCCAGTTTCAGAAGGTAGTGAAGGGGGTCAGAAGAGGGGATAATGACCATCATTTGACAGCTCTCCAAGAGACCCAAATCAAATACCACTTCTTTCATGGGTTCTTCTCTGACCCACCCACCAGGAAAGGTCACTTTCTTGCCTCAACTACTGTAGAACATTGGAACAATATTTTTATGTTCATGTCTTATCTCATACCAGATTGAGAGATTTTGAGGACTGGGATTAGTTCTTACTGAATTTTTTTTTTAATCCTCCTAGCACACAGCTTGGCACATGGTAGATAGTAGACCATCAGGTGTTTGCTGAATTTTGCCAACAAGGATTTTCAGTCACAGTCTGAGAGGAAGACAGACTTGCATACACCTACTTCTAACATCATGTAGGAGGTGTTGGTGACATGACAAAGGTACAGGAAAGTGATCTTGGTATGGGAGGAAGGAAGCTATTTCTAAAAGGAGGTCTGAGATGGATTTTTTTTTTTTTTTTTTTTTTTTTTAGTACTGGGGCTTGAACTCAGGGCCTACACCTTGAGCCACTCCACCAGCCCTTTTGTTGCATGATGGATTTTTTTCGAGATAGGATCTTAAGAACTATTAGCCCAGGCTGGCTTTGAACCTCAATACTCCTGATCTCTGCCTCCTGAGTAGCTAGGATTACAGACATGAGCCACTGACACCTGGCAGTCTGAGGTGTTTTCATGGAGAAGATGGCATTTGACCTGGGCCTTGAAGGACAACCAGGAAAAGAAAGGGGTAGGAAGAAGGCATTCTGGGTGGACAAAGTAACTGACCACAGGAAGTTGGGAAAGCACAAGAGTTGAGAGAGTGGTGGGCTATACAGGGTGAAGGGTGATGTGGGAAATGAGAGAGGAGGGATCAGCAGAAGGCAGAAAGAGAAGGGTGTTGAGTTCTGTGCTAGGATGTTTAACTGTGTCTTAGAGACAGTGGGGATCATGGATGCTTTTGGAACAAGGGTGTGATAGCATCATTTAGGCAAGTTTGAAAGATCTCTCTGGTGTCAGGATAGAGAAGGGAGAAAGATGAAAGGCTATAAGCTGGAGCCCTGATTGGGAGAGTGTGGCAATAATCCAGTTAAGAGATAATGATGCCTATATGAGGGTTGTAGTGGTGAGAATGGTGAAGAGAGAAACTGAAAGAAGAAATGAACAGATAGGCTCACACCAGGAATCCTAGCTACTCAGGAAGCAGAGATCAGGAGGATCAGGAAGCAGCGATCAGGAGGATGGTGGTTCGAAGTCAGCCCAGGCAAATAGTTCATGAGACCCTATCTTGAAAATACTCAACACAAAACAAAGCTGGTGGAGTGGCTTAAGTAGTAGAACACCTGCCTGGCAAGCATGAGCCCCTGAGTGCAAACCCCATGTACTGCAAAAAAAAAAAAAAAAAATGTGAATGGATATAGTGGTGTCCTGAAGCCAGCTCACAAGTTCAGTTTTGAGAAGTTTTGCCAGCCGGTTTTAAAATAAATGAATAAAATATGTGTGTATGTTTTGTAAACTTATGGCCAAATAAATTATTACCAAAAAGATAGCTTCCTAATTGTTTTACCACAGTTTATTATCTATGTTTTTGAAATTATTTACGTGTATTTACACATATGTATAGTGGAAATACTAGTTAACAGACAGCTGCTACACATCTCTTCCAACTCCAGATTCAGTGACATTGTGTTGATTGCTTGAAATCAACCACGGTGAAAGAATTTACAACATAGGAATCAGCAAAAGCTACAAATCAGGACTTTTTCTTTTTGTTTGTTTTTTGGTGGTACTGGGGTTTGAACTCAGGGCCTTCACCTTGAGCCACTCCACCAGCCCTATTTTTGTGATTTTTTTTTTTTTTAAGATAGGGTCTCAAGAACTATTTCCCCGGGTTAGCTTTAAGCTGAGATCCTCCTGATCTCTGCTTTCTGACTAGCTAAGATTATAGGTGTAAGCTACTGGCACCCAGCTACATCAGGACTCTTTCTCTTGAAGTAATGATTGTTAAATATTTTCCAGTGCAATCACTGAATCAAAAGACAAATGAGTGAGAGAATGGACAAGAAAAAGAAATGACGGGAGCTGGGTGTAGTGGTGCATGCCTATAATCCCAACACTTGGGAGGCTGAGTCAGGAAGATCATGAGTTCAAGGCCAGCCTGGGCTACATAGTGAGTTTAAGGCTGACCTGCAAGATCCTGTCTTTAAAAAAAAAAAAAAAAAGACTGAAGACAATGTTCTGTGTTAGCCTCCAGTAAGACAGAAGACTGAAATAAAAACTAAAGCTTTTACAAGGCCAGAGGCAACCCCTGTAATAGAGGAACTCAGGGCACTTTTCTCCTGTCCCCTCCCCCCAATCTCATTCCCCCTCACTTTAGCTCCACTGTCTCCACAAGCTGGTGTAGCCTCAGTGTGTCCTCTCGGAGGTCTTGGTAAAGAGACTCATCTTTCATAATTAGCAGGTACAGATCCTGGGGAAAGAAGGACAGAGAAGGTGAGGGCACAGGTCTCACCCCAAGGACCGCTCTGCAAGGGCTAGTAGGGTAGGGTCTTCATGCCTTTGAGCATAAAAGAAGGCCCCTGGCATCTTTTGCTTCAGCTACAGGAGGCTGGCTCCTTTGAAAGGGCTCCCTTCCAGAGCTAACAGCCAGCTCACCCGCTTTTCCAGGCTCACCTTGATGATAAGGCCAGCCCCCTCTTCCTCCTGCAGCAGACCCTGGTAGGTGTCCAAAAATGGAGGAGCATAGCTAGACAGGCCTGCTTTCGGCCCAGCCCTTCGGGGCCCTCCAGTCCCCTTGCCTGAACAAAGCTGACCCCTAAGTTAAGAAAAAGTTCTGGGCAGGCAGACTGAGGAAATTGGGAAAGGAGGCAATGGGAGGGCAATTTTCTGGGTTTGGGGCCAAGGAGAAAAGAGATTTAGGGGTCCTGGAACCAAGACCCCTTTCTGTGCCATTGCTACACAGAAATAGGTAGCAAAGACTTCCACTCACCCACTTTCATCTCCTGCCTGTTAGATTTCTTTTCGCTTGAGAATACCCTGCCAGGACCCATCTAACTTCTGGCCAGCCCTGAGCTTAGAGCTCATAGTGGGTTCTATAAACCTGACTTTACCTCATTGTGAGGTCTAATGTTTCTAAGACAGCCTATGACATTATATTCAGTGGCCTGACATTTGCAATTAGTTTCTAAAATAACCCAGAGAGAGGCCATCTGCTTGCATGAGACCCAATGAATAGACCAGTGGCTCATCTCTGTAGGCCCTACTGAAGCAAAGCCACCGCTGATGTTGGCATTAGACCCTGTAATAACTCACTGGGCAACCAGATGTTTACAGCAATAATCTTCAGTGGGGAGAGAGGCAGGCACCCTTAATAGAATAATAATACCTTACATTTGTACAGGTCTCTGCAGTCTCCAAAGCACTTCCACATCTGTTATCAGATTGGTCTTCATGGCAGCCCATAGGTAGACAGGACAGGTATTATTTACCTCCATTTTACAAAAAAGGAAACTGAGGCCCCAGGAGGTGGGGTGATCTGCCCAAGGTCACATAACTGGTAGGTCGAAAAGTTGGGTGTGTTTTCTTTTCTTTTTTTTTTTTTTTTTTTAATTTTTATTTTATTCATTTGTGCATACAACGTTTGGGTCATTTCTCCCCCCCCCACCGCTTCCCCCCCGCCCCGTCCCCTGCCTGTGTTTTCTAGGGGAGAATGTGAACTGGGATGTGACACGTGGGGTGGAAGGAGTGGCTTCTACCTGGCTTGCCATGTTACAAACTCCACAAAAGGATATGACTGGTGCAGTTCCTGCAGAAATTTCTCGGTCGGGAGGAAAAGGGAATGGGTGAGGACGATGTCATCAAGTAGGATATCTGTGGAGATCAGTGGGTGCCAGAGATGTCGGGGGGCACTCCCAGAACCAGACTGGAAACCCGGCATCCCCTCTCATGCCTCCTAGGGCAAGTTCTCTTTAGCCAGGCTGGAGCCACTGCCACCTGCCCCGTCATGCTCTGCACACGCGCACACACACACATGTGTGAAGGTTCTGGGCAGCCGCTGTGGGGGTGGGGCTGGCAGCTGCCAAGGCAGCTGGAGAGGGGGTGCCTTTGATGGCCATGCACACTTCTTTTCAGTGTGTGTGGGAAGCTGGTCAGAAAACACACTATGCCTGAGATCTGCCTGAAAAAAAACTAGCCCACAGAAGGGTCTCTCGACAAACACAGAGGTTAAGATCAGATGTATATGAGTGTGAGTGGGTGCGTATCCCTCCTGCCCTCCCCACTTCCTACCTCCCAGTTTTGAGTTCCAACCAGGCAGGTGGGAACCAGTCTCATTAAAAGGGAGAGGGAAGCAACTGCCATTTCTTTGATCTCAGAGCCTTTAAATAGAAATCCTGTGTCCTCTGGGTGCCCAGAGGTGGAAGGGTTAATGATGGAAGGGTGAGGGGAGGGGCTCCTCTCACCACCCTTTTCCCTCCACACCCCTGTCTGGGCCTGGCTCAGCCAGTCAGCCGGGTACAAGGTCGCCCTGACTTGCAGCCAGCCCTGGGGTGGGGCAGGGCTGCCTGGCACATGGAGACAGACAAGGCACAGGGAGAGAGCCAGGTGTCCTCAGCAGGACAGGTTAGGACCAGGTCCCCAGGCACTGCTCCAGGACAAAACCAAGGCTTCTAACAGCCCTTGGCTCACCAATTTTAGCCATGAAAGTAGAAGAGAATCAACACAAGATCATCCACTTCAACTATTTCATTTCACAAATAAGAAACTGAGGCCCAGCCAGGCATGGTGGGGTGTGTCTATAATCCCAGCACTCAGGAGATGGAGGTAGAAGGACCTTGAGTTCAACCAGCCTGAACTGCATAGTAAGACCCTGCCTCAAAAAACAAAACAAGAAAAAGAACAACTGAGGCCTAGAGCTGGGAAGGGACTGCCTAGAGCTGGAAGAACCCAGAATCCTGAGTTTTTGTTCTTTTCTCAATGTGCCCAAGACAAGTAGGGTATCAGAGTAGAAACTAGTGGTCAGGTGGAGCTGCTTGAATGTTTGAGGGGCTCTGGTTAGTTGAGGAGAATGTTCTGTAAGTCCCCTCTTCCCATACACCCTGGAAGGAAACCAAGGTGGCTTGGGAATATGAGTTGTATTGGAAACATCAATGAGAGGTCAAGCTGATTCTCATTCACTCTGGGACTGGTTTAGGGTTTCCCAATCAGTTACTCTGAGGATCCAACCTGCTAGGCCAGATAATATTAGTGGTAATTCAGGACTCTTACCCTAGAGGAGACAGCAGAGTCTATGGCACTAGGGCCCTGTAGAAGGGGAAAGACAGTTTCTCCCGTTCCTTTCCACTTTGCTACCTGTTCTGAAAGTGAGTCAGAGAGACCTCATCCCTGACCACCAGTTCCAAGGATGAGGACTAGGAATGGGGAGGCCTGACATCCTTCCTAGCTTCTTTATCTCACAAAAGACAGAGCCAGAGCAAAGGAAGAGGAACATGGGGCAGAGTGGGGGTGATGCTGATATGGGGGCTACAGTTTGGCATCTGTCTCTTCCAAAACAGGCTCTGGTCCAATGCACAGCCTCCCCAGGGAATGTGTCATAGAGACACAGGGTGTGTGGCGTAGGCGGGAAGTTATGGTTAGAAGAGCTGTGTGTGTGTCTGATATTTTTCTAATTAAATCCAAAAGGTGTCAGCTCCCCAGGGCAACTACAGCCTGAGCCAAAGGAGAAGACCTTGAGAAAAACCCTGGAGAGTGGTGCCCCACTCCTCATACCTGGGCTGGAGTTCCTTGAAGAAGGCAAAAAGCACAGTGTAACTTCCCCTCCCCATCTTTAGGGTCTCAGCTAGGGCTCCCAAACCTCAGACCTTCTGGGCTTACTGCAATACCTAGAGCTACCCTTAAAGACCCCTAGGTCTTCTACCTCGGCACTAACCAGCAATTTAGGGCCTCAGTTTCCTCAAAGGCCCCTAAGTAGGGTGCGGTGAGGAGGGGTGAAATAGCATCATTGTTTGGTAGTGAGCCCCTCAGGATGTGATTATTATTTTATAAAGAGGTCTTGTGCTGAGGGCAGCCACCAGAAGGGTAGGAGCTGGAGAAGCCCAGACCACTCTAGATGCTGCAGGGCCCTGGTACTTGTCCCCAAGCACCTTTTGAGTCCACCCCCAGGTAGAAAACAAGCCCCCACCAAGCTGCTAAGGACAGACATTCCTTTTCCCAAGTCCCAAAGGCAGCTTGGACCCTGTGCCTATCCACACTGCCCCACCAAGTGGGCTGGCTGTGTCCTGGGGTTTCTACACAGTCAAGGACTCCCATCAGGTTTTTCAGGCCTTTGACACATTTGGAGGGTGGCACCGGCTGGGCTGGGAAGCTTCCATCTTAGTGTGTCAAGCCCTAATTTTGGTGCACAGAAGGAGGTAGGCAACATCAGGGACCCATGGGAGACTGTGGCTAAAATGTCCAGGGGAGAGGAAAGGTGGCTGAAGGAGCGAAGGAGACTCAGCTTTCTCCTTGGTGGGTGAGGCTGCCACAGGGAGGAAGGAGGGCACTGCTTTCTTTTCCTTCCTCCAGAGGAATAGTCTGTGGCTCAGCTCAGGCACTTACCTCACTCGGGAGATCCCTCAAGCACAGTGCCAACCCCATTCTCCAAAGGCAAGAAGAGGAAGCAGGGGCACCCCATGATAAGGGATGGATAGGCCAGCAGACTCCTTACCTGAAACACCGCTGTCCCTGGTGGCCCCTCCGGCCAGCCGCTCCAGGACCCGGTTCAGAAGATGCTCTGGCCGCTCGGGGGCGCCCAGGGGGGCCCAGGGTGGCGAAGTCAGGGGCTCGCCCGGGGACAGCTCATCTGAGGAGTACGAGGAAGGGGAGCGCAAGGGCCCCCCGCCCCCGAGCGGTCCGGATCCCTGCACCTCCTCTAGCTGCAACCAACAAGGACCCCCGCTGCCCGGGTCCTCCGAGACCCCCACCAGCTCTCCCCCTTCCTCCTCAGGGGGCGGATCCAGCCCTGGCTCGGCGGGGGGCTCCCGGAGGAAAGCTGGGAGCAGCAGGCGAGACACGCTCTGACGCCGCTGCAGTGGCCGCGGTCCCCCTGCTGGACCGCCGCCCCCACCAGGTCCCCCACCCCCTCCGAACCCGCCGCAGCTCCCCGGACCCCCGCTGGGACCTCCCGCCACCGTTCGCCCCGCCAGCTGCGATGTCTGCTTCTTCAAAAATTTCTCCAGAGGCTTCATGCCCCCCCCGCCCCTCTCCTAGGGACCGCCGGGGGACCCAGGTGACCCAGGAGCGGGCGGGGGGGGGGCGGGGACAAGATGCTCACAGCCGGAGGAGCAGAGCCGAGGGCAGTGCTAGGCTCCGGACTGGGGGCCAGAGGTGACCGAGGCTCGCTAGCCAGAGTCCAGTGGCCAGTGGCCAGGGGAGCTGCCTGAGGGAAGGAGTGCCCGCTCTCAGCGGCCCCCCATGCCGGCTACAGCCAAGGGTGGGCAGGCTGCGGGGCTGGTGCCCCGGGCTCTGCGCTCCTGGGCCGGGCTGCGGCGGCGAAGGCAGCGGGCGGAGCGCAAGGCTGAGAGGACGCGGCGGCGGCGGCTGCGCTCCTGGCCCAGGGGAAGGTGGCAGCACTGAGACCGCGCCCCCTCCTCCAGTCCCCGCCCAGTCCCCACCCCTACCCTTCGTAAGCCCGCCTTCTGGGCCGCGCGAGGCTTGAACTTGGGAACTGTGTGTGCTGACCGCAAGGGAAACTGGGTTTGGGTTCAGAGAAGAGGCAGAAATTAAGGGCAAAGGCCAGAGAGTGATTTACCAATGGAGAAGGATTCTTGGCTCAAGAGATTACCGGGTCTCTTTATAGCATTTCAAAGAGCTAGGAAGAGTCTGTGGCCTACACCTTGACTCACCTACCCTTACCCAGGTGAAGCCTACAAAAATTGCTGAATCCATTGAACCTTTGCCACAGGAATATGTGGTCTTTACCTTACTCCTGTGAAAAGGGCTTGGAAGGCCTCTTGGCACTGGTACTGGGGGCGGTGCCCATCTGCCTTCTGTGATAGGGCATAGTAGGTAATGCAGGGCTGGCCTACAAGGCAGGTACTGGCACGCAAGAAAGAGCCAGGCAGAGAGCAGCAGGTCATGGCAGGTTTAGCTGGTGAGAGGAGATGGGTAGACTCAGGAGCACAAGGGCACCTGAGCCCAGATGGCAGTAGAAGGAAAGAAGGACATGGAGATGTGTGACAAGTCCCAGAACTTCCAACTAACATCATCAAGCATAGAGTTGAGTGTACACAGGCACAGAGTGAAAGAAGTGTTTCCAAGCAGGGCACCGGTGGCTCACGCCTGTAATCCTAGCTACTCAGGAGGCAGAAATCAGGAGGATCATGGTTTGAAGCCAGTCCAGGCAAAAGAGTTTGTGAGACACTATCTGGAAAAATCATCACAAAAAACGGCTGGTGGAGTGGCTCAAGATGTAGGCCCTGAGTTCAAACCCAAGAAACACACACACACACACACACACACACACACACACACACACACAAAGTGTTGCTAAACAAGCATTCCAAATACTCTGTGCTCCTAATGCCCATACAAGAAGCATTCTGTCCCCAAGGGTACACTGCCCAAGCACAAGGGGGCTACAGAGATACAGCATGAGCACATCCAAGTTAAGTTTACAAGGTGAGGGAGTGGCACCAGGTTCCAGATGGGTTGAAGCTCCGTGGACAATGCCACACCCCTGTTTACTGTGCAGCAGCCAGGCATGAACAGGAATGCTAATAGCTGGGAGTGGTGGTAGAACTGATAGGGTGTGTACTACACTTGTGTTGCTGTATATGCATGTCTGATTCCATGTGTGCTAAGCATGTGTTCACACCCATCTGTGGATTTGGAGAGGGAACAATAAAAGGAGAGACCCCAATTTTGGATAAGAAGCTAGGTCTGAATATCAGTTTATTGGGCTCCTGTTATTGGAACCCTAATATCCCTGGGGTTGAAAGTGGAAACTGGCTGGAGTGGCTTGGAGCTCCCCAGGTAGCATTTTACAAAATGAATAGGAAGAGGGGAGGGCTTCTCTTCTGCACATGCCACAGTTACCAGATTAAGCCGGTTGCCTTGGTAACCTCCTCTCTGGGCAGGATTTGGGATTGTCGGTTAGGAAGGGCGAATTGGGGAGTGTGGAGGGTGTGGGGGGCTGGAAATAAAAAGGACTGAGAGTTTTGGAAACTGAAATCTTGGAGAACAGGATTCCAGCACCCCTCCAACTACTCAGGGTATCAGGCATTGACTAAGTTCAAGACCTTGAACCAGGAGGAAAGCCAGTATCAAGTATTGGTCCTCCTAGAGCAGCAGTTTTCCATTCAAATTGCACACTAGAATCATAGGGCTTTCCAGAAATACTGATGCCCAGGCCACACCCCAGATCAATTAAATGAAACAAGTCCAAGATTTTGGAAAGCTCTCTGGGTGATTCAAACTGCCAAGACTGAAAACTCAGTACCCTAGCGGACCAATCCAAGTGGGCTGCTGATGCTGAGATGACTTTGGGATTCCAAGTCTTTACTGGTCTGAGTCATCCACAAGATAGCAGGCTTGTGTGCAGGCTAGAGGAGAAGGGTTGGTAAGGCACCTGCAATCTATCATGGCAGAACTGAAGAGGAAGGTAAGGGTGGTACAGAATTACAACTGAGAAAATAGGGACTAAAAAGCTTTGAGCCCAGCCCATGGGCTTCTAGGAGCTTAAGCAGGGATAAGGCTGATCTGTCTACCCCTTATATCTCCCTTTCTGCCTACTAAGAGGCAGGCTGAGAGGGCAGAGAACCTAGGGGCTTTGCTAAGCTTCAGTTTCTTCTTGCTGAGCTGGTTACCAGGGCAACAGAGAGAGCAATGGGATCTAACTACAGGACTGAAGAAGCAAGAGGCAGGGGTGAAAGGGAAGCACCTTAAGACTCATTCTTCCTGCCACTAACCCACCCCAAAGGCAGGCTGGCATTACTTGCTTAACCCCAGAAGACCGAGCCTATAGTTACCCATAGGCTAAGGGAAGCAAAATGACGTAACAATTTATTAATCTGGTATGAGGTTAGGAAAGTCATGGTCATCTGGCTGTAGTAGCAGTACACCAAGGATGTGGACAAACTTTCATCTGATGCACCATAATGCTCAGATCCCCAGTGTAAGATTTTGTGGAGCCCAAGAACAAATGCTGCCAGCTCCACATTAAACTTAATTGCTATCCTATACTAGGGAAAGCCTTTGTAGTAAAATTCCATTCCTCTCAGAACCTGGCAGAAACAGTCAACTCAAAACTGGGAATTACACTGTTTACACCAGAGGTCCAGGTAAAGGGAAGTATAAGCCACAGTTGGTGGCCTTTTGGGGGTCCCTTACTGTACTGTACTAAGATTGAAAGAAGCCTCGCCCTTAAACTATGGTCCGTAATACCTTACTGCTGGCATCTTTGCTTTTCCAGAAAGATAGCTACCTGTACCTCCCTCTCATCCAGGATAAGGTACAGTTGTACTGACATTTTGGTGGTCATTACCTGGAGAAAGTTACTTGGGAAACAAAGGAATGAATCAGGGATACTAGGTGTTCATGGGGATAAGCAGCACCTCACTAGTTTTATCCCTGACACTTTCAATTTAACGGAGTGCATGATATCCAGGTGTACATGGCATTGTGGTTAAGAGAACTGTCAGGGAGTGCAGACACACTTAGAGCCTCACAGGAAATCCTCACCTCTCTGGCCATTTCATCAGTCTGAGCTGGCTCAATTGTGACTGCGGTTGTGACTGCGACTCTGTAAGGGACTTAGGGAGTCATTTTCCTTCCCTTACAAATCAAGACTCATGCAAAGAACTGGCAAGGGAGCCAAACTTATAGTCTAAATTTTATTATCTCCAAGTTACACTGCTGATCACAAATATGCACCCTTTAAAACAGTAACAAAAAACAACAACAGTAACACACATGGCGAAATCCTTGCAACTAAATACAGTGGACCAACAGAGACAACTGTCACAGTGTCTTAAGGTCTGGGAATCTGGGCATGCTGCCCACAGGCTTGAAGGGACATACACAGGTTTAAGGCAAAGGGAAGCCTACAAAAGGCACAACCACTAGGAAGAACCTCTTAGTTATTTCCTTCTTGGGGGTTACAACTTAAATGCCTCTCCCCCTCTCCAGCCTACACCATGATTCAAAGTGGTTAGGCCAGCTGCTGGAGAGAAGTAAGAACAGACAGTGACATTACTAGGGAGAGTGACATTACTAGGGAGAGACAATCCCATCTTCTCCCTCAGGTTCTGTAAAACAGAGACAGTGGCCAAGTTCCCCCTGGCAGACACAGTGCTAGTGCTGCAGTTAACAGGAAATTTCCGCAGAGGCAGGAGGGTAGGACAGTGCCATAGATAAGAGGACAGGAGGGAGAACCTTTGCCCAAAAGGTGACTGGCTTCCTTAGGCCTTAAGCCCAGGTACGTATCTTCTGTTTGTAAGAACAGGAGCAGAATTTGGAGAAAATAAAGTAATAATCGCTCAAATACTTGTAGCAGGAAGTTATGGAAAATAATTGCAAAGAACTACTAGCTGGATAGTATTTGCCTCTAGAGAGATGCATTGGTCCATAGCAACTGAGAAGGGGATGTGGGAGGAGGGATGGAAAAGAGAGAAGCAAGGTCCACTAATTCCACTTACCTCACCAGCTAAACTCTGAGGACTGTGTGATACATTCTCCTAAGGTGCAGAGGCTGTCACTCCACCCTCCACCCCTCCTCACAAAAGGATCAGGTTTGCCATCTTTCCCCACAGTAGAAACTGCCTCAGTAGGGGACTGAAACCCACCAGAACACAGGTACTGATGGAAGCAGATTTATAAAGCTTGTATCAAAAAGAAGGGCTCCTACTCACCCACTCTGAGCTTTTCTCCACAATGGGACACTGTACAGACAGCTCTGCTTCCACAGGGTTAGAGAAGTTAGGAGAATCCAAGTATAAAATAACAAAGGCCAATCAAAAGTGAAAGGTCAGCTATTTTTACATTTGGGTGATACATTCTCAATAATCTGGGATACAGGTAGGAATCAAAAGGGAACCCAGAGAGGCTAGCAAACCAGAATAAACTTTTTCCAGAGAGAGGGGAAGGGAGGAAGGGAGGGAGGAAAGGAGGAAGGAGAGGCAGGAAAAAAAGGAGAGAAACACTAAGAATATCAATTTAAGGAAAGCAAGCAAGCCAGGCTGTAAAAATGAACGCTTTAAGAAACAAACAGGAAAAACTTGAATTTCCTGGGAGAAAGTGAAGAAGAGCAAGAAGATACAGCTTCTGGATCTAGATGCAGAAGCCTGGGCTGTCCAGTTTCTGCTCCCCTGAGCACAGCCAGCTCAAGTGAAAAGGTGGGAGGAGGTCACCCTATTTCTCCTCTCTCCAGCAGAGCTTGTCCTGAGAGGAAGGGGTTCCACCTCCTCCAGCTGCTTGCTGGGCTACCCCAGGTCTTTGAAGCCTTCTGGGTAGTAGATGGTCTGTTGTCTTTCTCTTCTGAGTTCTTACCTCTGCTGATCTAACAAGGGATGGGAAAAGGGAGAACCACCAAAGTGTTAGCAGACCTCTGGACATTTATAAGCTTAAGAGAAGTTCACAGTTCTAAATAATGTGGGGGGTTGGTTTTTTGGTGCTGAGGCCATGTATCTACATGCATGCTAAGCACATGCTCTACCTGAACCACAACCCTGGCCCCAAATAATCTGTTTTAGTAACCTTAAAACACGAAAGCCCATAGCCAGGCATGGTGGTACATGATTGTAATCCCAGCACTCAGGAGGCTGAGTCAGGAGGACTGTGTGTTTGATACTAGCCTGGGCTACATAGTGAGATCGTGTCTCATGGTAGGGTGCCTATCTCACAAGTTCACAGCCCCAGTACCTCCCCCACGACCAAAAAAAAATTAAAAAAAACCCTAACAACCCTATCAACCCTATGACCTTTCTCATCTATGATCCAAGAACTGGCTCTTTCTATCGAAACACTTTAAGTTTATATTTCCTCTTTCCTTGATCAATTTTAGACTGTGTGCCTTTATTTTTACCATGCAGTTTCCAAAATGAAACTGTTAAGTCAACAATGGTTTCTGTTTCAATCCTGCCCAATGCATTCACAAAACAAAGGAACTGGCAAATTCTGGGACTGCCATAAACCTCGCCTGAGATGTCCCATGATTATAGAATAAAGCCTCAACTGATTTTTTTTGTTAAGCAAGTAAGCAGGAGCATTAGTTTACGAACAGGAGTCACAGTAAGGTATGCACTTACTTTGTAGGTTAGACTGAAAAATATTTCAAAACTCTATTAACTGGAACCCTGCTTACAACCTAAAACAGAAAAAACAGGAAGGAAGGAAATTTGTTACCAGTTCATACAAAAAAAAGACTGTTTTCTACAGAAACACACCCTGAAAACCAGAGCAATTCACTGGAGAAAAGGAAAGGCCACTGATGTAGCATGCGTTGTTAAGTATTCAAACAGTTCATACCTCAGGTGGAGGGGGCTTGATAGAGACAGGCTGGGGAGTCCTTCGGGGTGGGGAGGGCTTTGGCTGCACCTGCTGCTGGGCAGGGTTATAGTAAGTCACTCCTCCATATACCTGTGATGGAGCCTGGGACCCCACAAGCCAGAAGAAAAAGATAAGAATAAATTCATCCAACCTACGACAAACAGGAGACATTATCTAGCAATAAAAACAAAGAGTATTGGAGAATTTCTACTTTTTAATCTTTAAGAAGCCTCCTCCAAAATAAAGTGTCTATTCTTTTCTGCCTTAATATGTCACTATCATGCTCTGGTTCCTGTTCTTTGTTTTTGGCAGTACTGGAGTTTCAACTCAGGGCCTCATGCTTCCTAGGCAGGTACTCTACACTTATAACCACTCCACCAGCCCTTTTCTACATTGGGTATTTTTGAAACAGTGTCTCACTTGTTTTTGCCTGAGCTGATTTGAACCTTGATCCTTCTGATCTCTGTCTCCAGAGTAGCTAGGTTATAGGTGTGTGCCACTGGTGCCCAGCTCTAGTTCCTATTCTTTATAGTACTGCTCAGCTTCCCCCAATTCCTACCATCCTAGCTGACAAATGGGAAAAGGTTGAACTCTATGGTGACATTCTAAATGCTAGATGGTGTCAATGCTGGGAGTTAAGCAGGACAAGGACAGAGTAAGTGATCCAGAGGTAGAATACTTTATGCAATTGAATAAATAGCAGATATGGCTGCCTATGATGGACCAAAAAACACTTGATGAAACTGAAGGGAATCTGTTGTGGTGGCACATGCCTGTAATCCCAGCACTTCAGAAGGCTGAAGCAGGAGGATCACAAATTCAATGCTAGCCTAGACTACATAGCAACACCCTGTTTCAAAAAATCAAGGGCTGGTGACATAGCTCAGTGGTAGAGCACTTCTCTAGCAAGTGCAAGGCTTTGTTTGATCTTGAGCCCTACAACAAAACAAAATAACTTGAAGAGAATAAACACATGATGGGCATTACATAAACTGCATTTTCAGCTCTTGACCACCAAGAGGCATCCTGGCACCACATCTAAATCAGTGGCATTGAAACGTACTCTTAAAATTGCTTTAGAACTCTCCCCATACCATATTCCTGTCTGATTTAAAGGTGTGCCTAGAAAAATCTGCTCATCAGCTATCTCACCTGTGTATTAGGGTATAGATGAGGAGGTGGTGGGGGAGGCAGTGCTCCCGGAGCATAAGGGTAACTGGGATTACCAAAGTTCATGACGCTTGTGGCAGAAAAGTAAGTAGGAGCAAGCAACTGCTGGGGTGGTGGCTGTCCTGGAGACATAGACACTGGTGGAGGGTAGAGGCCCGGATTGGGTAGAGGTGCTGGTGTCTGATGGGGATGTAAACCTGAACAAGGAAAGGAAAACAAAAACTGAAAAAGAAGCCGCCACCATTTTCATGGGATGGCTTGGCTGAACATTCAACACTAATTGCCTCAGGATGAAAGTCCGCAGGATGGATCCTAAGAGCAGTTTGCTGCTGAAGTGGCCAGGACAACCAGTCGCATAAGCTAGCAGGACAGAGCTCAAAGAGGATGGGGTTTGTGGAGCCTCCAACACACATCCTCACATACTGGAAGTATACAGCAGGAATACAAAGTTTACCTGGGTGGGGAAGGTGCATTTCTGGTTGCACAATCATGCCCTGTGGAGGCAGTGTGGCAGGGCTGTCACCATGGGTATAGATTGGTCCCTGGAACTGCACTGTAAGAAATACATCAGCAGTATTAAAATCCTCACTCTTCATATCACATGGACAAGTCTTCTTGCTTTCCAAACTCTTTAAAAGATGCTCTCAACTTTCCATGTGAAGAGAACAGCAACTAGACAATGTCTGATAACCACTATGAGAAGTCAGAATGGAAATTAAGAAGCAGCCAAGAGCTGGTAGCTCATGCCGCTAATCCTAGCCACTTAGGAGGCAGAGATCAGGAAGATCGAGATTTAAGACCAGGACAGGCAAAAAGTGAAACACTATCTCGAAAATACTCAACATAAAAAAGGGCTGGTAGAGTGGCTCAAGTGGTAGAATACCTGTCTGGGAAGCATGAGGCCCTGAGTACCATGAACCCTGAGTACCATGAAAAAAAGAAAAGAAAAGGAAATTAACAGGCAGGAGGCCAGCCTTCTTAATCTGCTTTACCCTAACAAGAAAGGTACCCCACAATAAGGACTCACATGGATCATAGTAATGTCCCTCCATGATACTGATATGCACAGGAGGAGCAGGGGGCTCTGGCACAGGTCTCTGCCGCTGAGATGAATAGCGTTTGGCTCGACCACCCTGGACACCCTGAGATAAAAAGAGAAACCTGAACATTTAAGACTTCCAGAGGGCTGACTTTTATACCAAGTCCTACCCTTCTTTAGATACTGCAAACACTTGGTACATGGTTAAGTTTTAAATATTTGCAAAATGAATTTAAAAATCAATGAAAAGTATCAATATTTGAACTTAAACTGCCTATCCCCTACATTTCTGAGACCCAAATTAAAAAACATGAATAATCAAAGGGAAAATTAGCATCAAGATCTTATCTTTGTTTAAACAGTGAACAAACCGTACTATGTAGCCCCTTCCCCATCTACCCCTCTTCCCTTTTGTACCATTTCTTCCATCCGGTTAAACTGAGGTGGAGGTCCTGCTCCCATGTGTATGTGGTTGGGCACACCTGTAATACACCAAAAAAAGTCACTGCTATAGCACACATGTACCTGAGTGGGACTCAAAAATGACCTCAGGAAAATGACAAGTTAAACATGGAGAATGTTTTTTTTTTCTTTAAAACTACCAAAATTCCTTTTAAGCCATCTGCTTATTGTCAGTAAGAGCATTTAAAAATTTGCCCTCACTGCTCTTAATACAGCAATAAAATCCTTGATCATAAAAAAAAAAAAGAATTAGGTAAAATTTTTCCTACCAAATACTTCCCTGAGCAGAAACTCTGGGAGGCTGTAATTAGCACACTACATTACTAAACATATTATAAAATCTCAGTCCAAACTTTTTCAAACAGCAACTGGACATTTTATAAATCTACTTGATAATACCCTGATCATAGAGGTCCGGACTGGACGTTTGGGAAGAGATTCCTCTCTGGCTAAAAATTACTCAGGATAAAAAGGGATGTCTACAGACTGTCTTCCAAGGATAATAAGATTATCAGTCAGAAAATGTACTCTATCCAGAGATCAACTCTTAGGTCCAGAACAGACTACACTGATTTTTGGTGTTTAAAACTCACCTCTACAAGGACTCCTTGTCCAAATGAGGATTTCCCATCTTTAAGTTTGAGCTAGATTTCAGAAACTAAAGAAAAAAAACCTCTTGATCTATTTGGTAGGACAAAGTAGAAAAGACAAAAAGGGTAACAGGTTATGTCCTACTTTATAGAACTATGATAATCTAATATGATTCCTACTAGTCACAGGTGACTACTTGAATTTTAAATAATTAGAAGCTCAATTCCTCCCTCTGGCCACATTTCAAAGTAGTCATAAACAGCAGCACTACATAAAATTCTACGGGGCAGACTGTCTGTAGAAAACTAAGGAAATTAGAAAGGCTTTCCTTCAAAGAATTATCAAAAGCTGGGCACCTGTAATCCTAGCTACTTGGAAGGCTGAGATTGGAAGGATTGCAGTTTGAGATCACAGGGCAAATAGTGATGAGACCCCATCTCCAAAAATAATCAGAGCAAAATGGACTGGAGGTGTGGCTCAAGTGGTAGAGTGCCTACTTTGCAAGCACAAAGCCCTGAGTTCAAACCACAGTCCCACCAAAAAAAAAAAAAAAAAAAAAGTAGGTATTTATAGATATTTGCCAGACACCACGTTCCTGAGAGGTATAAATATCATACCTTGAACCTCAATGACGGAAAGAAAAAGAAGCTAGTCACCAACCCTATACAATACCTACCTCGAATCTCCCGTGGTTGCAGAAATGAAGGCTGTCCTGGACTCCAATTCTGTTCTGATATATTCAGCTGTGCCACATCTTGTTCAAGTCCACCTGCAGCAGAGTCTACTGGAGCCTCCCAGTTCCCAGACTTAGTAGATGGAGGAGGGGAAGTTTCTGGGACTGCAGGTGCTAAGGTCAGCCCTTCAGGAGGAGGGGGCACCTCCTCCACAGCTTTCACTGCATCCCCAACTTTGGTTCTGGTTCTTCTGGCCCGGGAATAGGATTTCTTCTCAATGGGCCTATCGGGGGCTGGTGGTGCAGTGTCAGGAGCAGCAGTTGGTGCCTCTGAAGCTGCCTCTTCCTTCTCAGGATTGTCAAGCACTGGAGCATCTACTTCTGGAGATGGATCTCGCACAGAAGTCTGCTCTAGGCGCCGTGACCGGTAGCTAGCATCATATTTAACATTCTCACCAGACCGGCCACCATGCTGCCCACCAGCATCCACAGGCCTAAAACCAGTACGACCTTCCTTGAAGCCCCCAGATCGAGAATAATTCCTGGGTGCAGACATGCGGCCAGTACCCGCTGCATTCCTGTTAATAAATGTTCTTGGTGGAAGGGTAACCCCAGAACCCTGGTGGCGATGGGACTTGTTTGATCGCTCACCAATCCAGTTTGGATCTCTTTGTGGAGGACTCCCATATCTAAAAAAGTGGAATAGAGAAATTAAGAAAAGAAGAGGTTAGACTGCTTTCCTCCAATCCCTTTCACATGGGAGTCTCTACTCTTTCTTCTCCATTAATAAAACTCTGCGGTGGGCTGGTGGAGTGGCTCGAGCAGTAAAGGCACCTGCCTAGCAAGCATGAGACTCTGAATTTAAACCCCAGTGCAGCCAAAAAACCCAATCAAACAAAAAACTCTGTGGCTTTGCACCTCAAAAAAAAACAACAAAAAAAAAAACCCACTACAGACATAAACTGAATGTCAGGGAGACATCCCATATTCCTTACCTGTTTACTTACAGGCTGGAAAGGCATTTAGAAAAACAGGGGAGTTCTTTCTAAAAATATCAATTATCTAGGTCCCAAATTTTCCTCACCGGGGTTTCCGGATTCTTCGAGGTTTGATATCATCAGGATTGTGAGCTGAACGGATGTCATAGCCATAAAGAGCAATGAGCTCCTGTCGGGACTTGGGGGCCTGCTCATCTTCACGGAACTTGTCGTGTTCCCAGCGACCCTCATCCTTCCAAAGCTTTCGCTGACGCCCCTTGGGTCTGGACAAAATTAAGGAAAGTGTTTTGAGCCATCAATACTGTGGAACACCTCCTCTCTCCTAAAAGGCAGTCTGTGGATTAAAGGCAAAAGTGTGATGCTTAAGAGAAGATGCGGCCAGCCCCAGTGGCTCACACCTGTAATCCTAGTTACTTGGGAGGATGAGATCTGGAGGATTGTGGTTTGAGGTCAGCCCATGCCAATAGTTTAGGAGACCCCATCTCCAAATTAACCAGAGCAAAATGGACTGGAGGTATGGCTCAAGCGGTAAAGTGCCTGCTTTTCAAGCACAAAGCCCTGGGTTCAAACCAAAGTCCCACCAAAAAGAAAGGGAAGGGGGAAGAAGAAGAAAGAGAGAAGGAAAAAGAAAGGAAGGGAAGGAAGGAGAATGGATACTGGAAGCAGACTACCATGGGTCTGAACCTTAGCTTTCCCACCAAGTTACCATTTTTCTTTTTTTCCAACTAGGCACTAAATATTCTTTCTTTATGTTTTTTGAGGCACTGGAGCTTGAACTCAGGGCCTTCACCTTGAGGCACTCCACCAGTCCTATTTTTGTGAAGGATTTTCAAGATAAGGTCTCAAGGAACTATTTGCCCAGGCTGGCTTTGAACCTTGATCCTCATGACCTCTACCTCCTCAGTAGCTAGGATTATAGGCATGAGCCACCAGAGCCCAGCTAGGCACCAAATATTTTAAGCCTCATTTTCCTCATGTGTACAGAAGGAATAATATGCTTACCTTAAAAAGTTGTGAATAGTAAATGAGACACTATCAGCAAAGTACTTAGCAAAGCATCTGACATACAGTAAGCACTAAATACAAGCTAGACAGCAGCAGCAGCAAGTATTACCTGACTTCCTCCTCCTGAGTTTGCCCTCGAAGATCATGTTCAAAGAAGAGCCCTTTTCGGGGTATGTATGCTGGATTTTTCCGATCTTCATCATCATCCAAGTGCTTAGGGCCCTTTTTACCCACTTTGTTCTCCACAGGTTCTGTGCTCTCCTGAAGGAAGACAAGGGACTCTTTACTCCTCCAACATTGAAAGCCCCATTCCAATCCCCAATGGACGACTGTGTTGTGTACTGACCTGTCCATCCCCGCTTTGCCTTTCTCCAGTCACAGTGCCTTTAGTTTCAGGTTTTTCTTCTCCCTTCTCTTCTTTTGCTGAAGAATTAGCAGCATCATTAGCTTCTGATTTCAGCTCTACTTTGGAGTTTTCTTCTTCACTGTATTCACCTTCTTCACCCTGAAGAAAAGTTTCCTTATCAGCTACAGAGGTTAGGATCAGAATGGTTCTATTTTTTATTCTTTTGGACACATTTTCTGACAAACTTTTACTACAATGTAAGAATTAAAGGCAATGTTGGGTATCAGTGGCTTACATCTATAATCCTAGCTACTCAGGAGGCAGAGATCTGGAGGATTAAGGTTCAAAACCAGCCCTGGGCAGATAGTTTGAAAAATCTATCACAAGAAAAGGGCTGGCAGAGAGGTTCAAGCAGTTAAGAGTGCCTGCCTAGCAAGCATGAGGCCCTGAGTTTAAACTCCAGTGCCGAAAAACAAAAAAAAAGAATTAAGAGCAAATAGGCTGGTGGTATGGTTCAAGTAGTAGAGCCCCTACCTAGCAAGTAAGTGGCCATGAGTTCAATCTCCAGTACCATCACAAAAAAAAAGAATTAAAAGCAAGCACTATGGGGGACTGGGTATATAGCTCATTGCTAGCGTGCTTGCCTTAGCATGGTAAGGCTCTGGGCTGGATCCCCGGCAACAGGCATGCACTCAAAAAAAGAGCATGTCAATATTGTTACCCAAAACTCTAGAGGATAAAGGCACTGCAAAACATACATACATACAAACATACATACACATGCATTATGCATGCACACAAAAATTTCCATATAGATACTCCAGGAATATATATAAAGAATTGTTAACAGTGGCAGCCCAAGGTAGGACCCAGGGAATATAGCATCTGACAAACAGAAAGAGTTTAATCTTTGTTGACAATTTCTTTCCTTTTCCATGAACTTACATATGCAGTACCTACTAACCAGTAACTTAAATTGTGAAGTTTTAACTCAAAATGAAATAGCAGGGCTGGGAATGTAGCTCAATGGGTATTTGCCTAGCATGCATGAGGCTCTTGGTTCAATCCCCAGTACTGCCAAAAAAGGAAAAATGTATTAGAGCACATACCATCTTTTAGATTATGTAATTAGGTGCAAAGCACACATATGCAATCCTGAGTTCAAGGTCAGTCTAGGTAATCACAATTTTAAAAAGATTATGTAGGTTCCCTTTTAGTCTAAGATCTAAAATTTTCAGGACAGCATCCAGACTGAGAAAACAAAGACACAATAGCTCTATATTCAACAGTTTAAAATACATTCACTTGGCTGGAGGCATGGCTCAAGTTGGTGGAGCACTTGCCTAGCAACCATGAGGCCAAATTCATACCCCAATACTGGGGGGAAAAAAAGAAAAGAAAACAGTCACCTTTTTTTTGGGTGGTTCTGGATTTTGAACTCAGGCAGGCGGATGCTCTACCACTTAAGCCACAGCTCCCAGCCCTTTTTGCTTTAGTTATTTTTCAGGTAGGATCTCACTTTGGCTTGGACCAGCTGGGACCGTGATCTTCCAACTTAAGCCTCCTGTATCACTGGGATGACAGATGTGCACTAGCTTTTTTGTTCAGATGGTATTTTGCTAACTTTTTGACTGAGCAGCCTCAAATGGCAAACCTTGATCCTCCCAATCTCTGCCTCCTGAGTAGCTGGGATTACAGCTATGAGCCACCATACCTGGCTTAAGTTCATATTAATTCACTTACATTTAAAAATAGTACCTTAAAGTACGATATTTATGTTTATTCTATAGCTGAGAGTTAATAGATTTGTACATTTCTTATAATGATTCCATGGTTTCTCAAGGCACTATAAGTTGGGTATAGTGACTTACAGGATTTTTTTGTTGCTTTTTGGTGCTGGGGATTGAATCCAGAGCCTGGCAGGCACACACTCTATACCACTGAGCTACAACCCCAACACTATGACTTACATTTTTTTCCCTTGGTACTGGGATCAAATCCAGGGCCTTGGTATGCTAGGCAAGACTCTGCCACTGAGCTACATTTCTAGCCTTCATGACTTACATTTTTGATATCCACAATGAGTACTAACTTTTCTGTAGCATGATATTCCCAGAGGCAATTACTCTATCCACAATCATATTATAAAATTACAAAAATTGTGACCTGGAAAATCTAAGAAAACTTGTTTAGGAATGAAAAAAATATAAAGCAGAAGTGCTCTCTCTCCTCTCCATTATCTTTTCCTGTAACCACATCAAAATTGGATAATCTGGTCCTGACAGAGAGTGGTTAAGTCTCTCTAGAGGAGGATCATTAGACCATTCCTCTAAACAGAAGTCGCCAGAACAGAACAAAAAAATGGAGGTGTGGCTAGCTCTAGGTATGGAAAAGCAGCAGCTAAGGCTCTGAGAAGAAACTGGCTTAACAGTAACTCTCCTCTCCGTCTTCTCCAGGTCTGGACCTAAGGAGGCAGAATCACAGATTAGAGAAGTAGGATTAGAGACCTACAATGACACAAAGAAATGGGCTTGTGAAGAGGTAGACTAATCCCCAAATGTGGGTTACCTCTGCCACCTGGTAGATATGTGTACACTGGTCTCTTTCCTACTGGGTCTGGCCCTTGACTTGAACTAGGCTGCCCTCTCACTTCAGACCCAAACAAAATACAAACAAAACAACAGGGGACATAGCTCAAGAGGAGAAACACACTTGCCTAGCAGACTTGAGACTCTGGTTTCAATTCCCAGAGACAGAGAGACACACACACATCTGTATCTACATCTATCTAGCTACCAACCTATCTATCTATATCGAAGACCTAAACATAAGAGATAAAAATCATAAAATCCTTGGAAAATACAGAGTAAACTTTTATGGCTTTGAGATTGGCAAAGGGTTCATAGTTATAGTACCAAAAGCACAAGCAGCGAAAGAAAAAAAAACAAGTTAAGCTGGTCTTGATCAAAATTAAACCTCTGTGATTGAAAGAACATCCATAGAATGGGGAAAAAAATTTAGAAAATCACATTGATAAGTGACATATATTGAAAATATATAAAGAACTCTTATAACTCAGTAAGACAACATAACTAAAATATAAGCAAGTCATCTGAAGTGTTGTTTGTTTGGAGGTACTGGGTTTTGAACTTGGAACCTCATGCTTGCTAGGCAGGCACTCTACCACTGTGCCCCCAGCCCTATTTTGCTTTAGTTATTTTTTAGGTAGGGTCTTCCACTTTTGCCAGGGGCTGGCCTCACTGCAATCTTCCTACTTATGCTTCCCGAATAGCTGGGATAAGAGGCTTGGGCCACCATACCAGGCTTACTTTGTTGAGATGGAGTCTTGCTAACCTTTGGGCCCAGATGGCCTGGATCACTTCATGAGTAGCTGGGATTGCACCCTGCCCAGCCTGAAGAGTCATTTCTCCAAGGAAGATACACAAATAAACAGTAAGCACACACACAAATCCTCAATATCGTCATCAGAGAAGTGCAAATCAGAATGAGATAGGTCTTCACATCTAATAGGATGTTCAGAATAAAAAAAATAAAACATGTATCAGACAGTAAGTACTGTGGAAGAAGTGGAAAAACTGGAACCCTTATGTACTGCTGGTGGGAATATAAAATGGTGCAGCCACTTTGGAAAACTGGCAGTTCCTCAAACAATTAAACATGGAGTTATCACAACTCAGCAACTTCCATTCTTCGGTATACACTCAAGAGAAGTAAAACACGTGTCCACAAAGAACCTTACACGCTAATGTTTATAGCAGCATTATTAATAGCCAAAAGATGGAAACAGCCCACTGATAAATGTATAATGAAAATGTGTACATATATACGTATGTACACACACACAATGGATATCAATCAACCTTAAAGTATCTTGGCAAGCATGGTTGTTCATGCCTGTGATCCCAATTACTTGGGAGGTGATCAGGAGGACCACAGTTGAGGCTGCCCAGGCAAAAAGTGAGAATCCATCCCAAAAAAAATAAGCAAGCATGGTGGTACACACCTGCAATCCCAGATTCCTAGGACAAGTAGGAGAACTGAGGTCTACCTGGGCTGGTGTAGGCATAAACTTGAGACCCTATTCAAAAAATAACTAAAGCAAAAAGGGATGGGGATGTGGCTCAAATAGTAGAGTATCCATCTATCAAGCCTGAGGCCCTGAGTTCAAACCCCAATACTACCAAAACAAAACAAAACAAAACAAAAAACCAATCTTGTTATTTGCAACAGCATGGATGGACCTAGAGGACATTATGCTAAATGAAGTAAGACACAAAATACTGCATGATCTTATTCATAAGTAGAATCTGATGAAGTCAAGCTCAGAAAGGTAGGTGCCAGGGCACCTGAGACATTAGGGAAAAATAGGTGAGATTTGGATCAAAGGCTATTTAGGAATACAGTTTAAGATTAACTATAGATAGTTGTAAGATTAACTTTTTGCCTAGGTGACCTCAAACTCAATTCTCCTGATCTTCACTTCCTGAATACCTGGGATTACAGGTCCAGGGTTTCGTTTCTTTTTATTATTTTTTTGGTGGTGCTGGGTTTTAAAGTCAGTGCCTCATGCTTGCTAGGCAGACACTCTACCACTTGAGCCACTCCACCAGCCCTTTTTGTATAAGGTTTTTTCAAGATAAAGTCTTGCAAACTGTTTGCCCAGGCTGGTTTCGAATTGCAGTCCTCCAGATCTCTGCCTCCTGAGTAGCCAGAATTACAGGCATGAGCCATCAGCGCCCAGCTGAATAAAGCTGTTTTTTTTCAAAAAAAGCTGCTTGTTCTTCCTGTTCTGTTATTCCCTTACTCTCATCTCCAACTTTTTTTCTTCTTTTTGGTGGTACTGGAGTTTGAACTCAGTGCCTCACTTACTAGGCAGGCACTCTACAACCTGAGCCACTCCACCAGCCCTTTTTTGTGTTGATTATTTTCCAGATAGGGTCTTGCAAACTATTTTCCCAAGCTGGCTTGGAACAGCAATCCTCATCATCTCTGCCCCCTAAGTAGTTAGGATTACAGGCATGTCATCCCAACTTTTTAAGACATCCACTTTCTTGACTCTTTAACTTTCTATCATCCAGTCCTTTCTCACATTGACTTTTGTCCTGTCTAGACACCAGGGTTCACTCATTTCAATAACTACTAGTAACATCCTTTAATTCCTTGCCAGGACCCTGGGCTTGGGTGCTAGATCAACCCAAGAGTTGCTTTCTTAGGCCTACAATAAACTATTCCATCAATGAAGGAGGTTACACACATACCTTTCGCAGGTCAGTGCCACCTCCAATCTCAACTACTCAAATCTCATTTAGTCTCACAATGTCTATTCCTCTTGCCTTCCACCAACTCCTTTTTTTTTTTTTTAATTTGTTTACCTTTTAATACAGGCAGGCACCAGTGTCTTATACCTGTAATCCTAGCTACTCAGGAGGCAGAGATTAGGAGCATTGTGGTTAGAAGCCAGTCCACACAAATAATTCATGAGACCCTATCTGAAAAATACCCAACACAAAAAAGGGCTGGCAGAGTGGCTCAAGTGGTAGACTGCCTGCCTGAAAGGCCCTGAGTTCAATTCCCAGGTACTTCCACAAAATAAAAAAAAGAAAAAAATCAGTAAAAGACAGTAAGACAATTTTTAAAAATGCAGGATTAACATCCAGATTGAGAAATCAAGAGGACTATTTCCTCCTAAGTCATTGAGTCATTGTCCAGACAACTCTTGAGAAATTGTAGGAATATGCAGGGGCAGACACAAGGCAGAGCCTCATCTAAAACACTGAAGAAAGAGACATCATGGTGCAAAGCACTGTGCTCCCCTACACCACTTGGAAAGAGCACAGGGAGAGGGACCTCCTGGAGTATCCACACTGGACCAATCCCATTTCTTAAAGCAGATGTCTTTCCTTCTGCTTCACAAAGGTAAAGAAAGGAACACCAGCTTCCTTCTCACATCTCCATAAATGCAATGAAAGAGTTTTCTTGTCTGATTGCTATTTTCTTCTCATGTACTCAGTTAAACATCAGTACACGTATCCACTACCTCTTTTCTTTCCCTTTCTACTTGCTTCTTCAATCTTTTTGTTGTTGTTTTAATTTACTTTCTGGAGGCTCTGGAGAATCAGATTTCTGTTTATTTGGTTTACTGCTGAATTCAATTTCATGTGGTTGCAGAACTGAGGCCTCTATATCTTTGTTGGCTATTGGATGGGTGCTGCCTTCAGCTCCTAGCGATCCCTTTGCAGTCCCACCCATCACAACCCTGCATCTCTGAACCAGCAATGGGGTAATAAACAGCCATGTCACACTGCTCTACCGGAGTCTTCTGACCGTGTCTTCTTCTGTTACGTCAATCTTTAACCAAACTTGAGAGCCATCCCCAATTTAAAAAAAAAAAAAAAAAAAAATCACCTTTTAACCTCAAAGCATTCTTTTCAGCTCTCTAACCTCCCTTTCATGGTTGTTTCTTTAAAAGTTTTCTTGGAGGATCTGGGGGAAAAGGTAGCAACGTATTTTTTGTTGTGCAGTACAGCGAATTTGATCCAAGGCCTCGCACATGCTAAGAAAGTGCTCTTCCACCCATGTGTATCCCCAGCCCTTTTAAAATCTTATTGAGCAAAACCTCAGTGCTCACGCCTATAATTCTAACTACTCAGGACGCTGAGATCAGGAGGATCACAGTTTGAAGCCAGCCTGAGGCAAACTGACTCTATCTTGAAACAACCCATCACAAAAAAAGAAAAGGGGCCGGCAGAATGGTTAAAGTAAATGTGAGGCCAAAAAACAAAAACAAAAAATCTTATTGAGACAATAAAATTCTGTTGCCAAGTGGGTCTTAAACTTTCAACCTCCTTCCTCAGCCTCCCAAGTGCTGGGACTAAAGGTGTGTACCCCCACACCCAGCCTCAGCAGCATAGCTTTTGATCTTTCTTCAAATCTCCACATGGAACAACTTAGCTTCTGAACAGCAAAACCAGAATCCTATGGACAACACTTACAACAAAACTGTTACAAGGTATCTCCTAAACTTCAAAATATAACAAAGCACCAGCCTGGCATGGAGGCTCACCCCTGTAATTCTAGCTACTCAGGAAGCAAATTGTTGGTGATACCCTATCTTGAAAATAACCAACACAAACCAGGGAGGGCGGAATGGCTCAAGTACAAGATCACCTGCCAAGTAAACATGAAGGTCCTGAGTTCAAACCTCAGTACTGAAAAAAAAAGAAGCATACCCCTTGTGAACTCAGAGACTCAGAAATTTGCCCTGAAGGAGATGGGAACTCCAGATAACGTACATTGGTACCAGGTTCAACAAAGCTATACAAGCCAAAGAAATAAGGAATGTCCCAATCGTACTGGGACATTATAACGAAGATGCAGATTCACCAAACAAGCTGTGTACTTTGGTAACCAATTTCACTGTTACCACATTCAAAAATCTATAGTCAGTGTGGATGAGAACTAACTGCTGAGTGAAAATAAAGTTGTAAAACTGCAAAACAACAACAACAACAGAAACCCTGGTCACTGATGGCTGACGCCTGTAATCCTAACTACTTGGGAGGCTGAGATCTGGAAGGCGAAGGTTCAAAGCCAGTCTAGTCAAATAATTTGGGAGATGCCATCTCCAAAATAACCAGGACAAAATGGACTGGAGATGTGTGGCTCAAGCAGTAGAGTGCCTGCCTTGCAAGTAAGAAGGCCTGAGTTCAAACCCCAGTCCCATTAAAAAATACCAGAACGCTCAAGAGGAGAAGCATATAGGTCATGGTATTTTCCCACCATAAATATGTACATGTTTTTAAAACATTAAGACATTTTCTGACTTACACCGCAAGGAAAAAGAATCTATCACACTCACTTCTGAGTCTTCTGCACTTTCATAATCCGAGAGAACAGCTGAAATAAAATAGAAATATGTGAGGGGGGAAAAAAAGGCAATAGAAATTATTATGATATTCATAACTGCCTATAACTAATCAAGCTAAGACTCTCTCTTAATTCTTTTTTTCCTTTCTTTTATTTTATCGTTTTTATATTTACTTACACACAACGTGTATACATTGTTTGTGCCACCTCTCCCCCCACCCCTCACTTAATTCTGGTATCAACTTATAAAGTCCCCATTCATAGGGGTGAGACAGTGACCTGCTCAAGACCACACTGACAAAAATCTATGCTCTTAATCACTCGGTTACAAAAGGCCACTCTCTGTCACCTCCCTCAAATCCATAACAATATGAGAGAATGGAAAGAGATGGCCTGAGTTGATGTACAAAAAAACATGTCATGATGAGGTTAAGCGATGGTACTCACCATCACCTTCCATGCCATCTTCACTCTCCTGAAGGGAAGCAGAAGATATGGGTTAGCTCTGTGATTTCCACAAGTGGGGAACCCAATAAAGAAATATGGGGGAAGAGCTAAAGACAACACAAAATGGTCGAATAAGGAGATGAACAAGTAGTATCTGAAGGAGGCCCGGTCTCTGCACCTGCTCCAATTTCTGAATAAACATCTGCTGTCCATCTGCAGCAGCTTTGCTCTCCTCTCAGAAACCCTCAGCCCCTCCAGTCCCTTGGGGCTCCAGATGGACGCACACTTGCTGTGGGGGTGAGTGACTCTTGTCTTTGCAAACAAAATACGCCCCAACATCTCTCACCGCCTACACCCCGCCCCCGGCCGGCTCGCCGCCCCGCCTGCGCGCACTCACACACTCGGACTCCTCGGCGCTCTTGGCGCCCCCGCTCTCCACCCGCCGCAGATGAAGGGCCCCGGCGCGGCCGCCGCGCTGGGAAGGCAAAGAACCGCTACCGCCGCCTCCAGCGCTCCCGCTGCAGCTTCCTCCGCCCCGCCCCGGGGAGCCACCGCTGTCGGAGCCCGAAGCACCGGACTCCTCGTCCTCCGTGTCCTGCGAAGCGCGCTGCCGCCGCCGGTCCGCCATTTTACGGAGAACCGCCACCGCCGGCTAGCTCCTTACGCACCACGCCCGTCGTAGAGGCTGCCGGGAGGCTCAAGAGCTAGTCCCATCATGCTTCAGGAGCAGCGCCCGGCCGCCCCCCTTTTCGTGGGGCGGGGCCGGGGCGGGGCCTGCGCCCTGCGGCACGTTTTCGGACGAGCGGGATTACGTATGTCGGTGACGTAAGGGGGCGTGGTGCGGCACTTGACTTCCCTTGGGCTGGCTTTGGGCAAGGGGTGGTGGTGGACTTCAGCCCGGCCATCTTGGGCTTTTCCAGCGGAAGGCGTCGACCTGGCTTGTCATAACTCCACTGCAGCATTGTGGTTTTCTGTTTCCATTTCTCGTTTATGCCTACGTTTGAGGCATAGCATTTTACTGCGTTTATTTGCTTGGTAAAAATCACGAATCAAGGTAAATCTTTAAAGCCGTAGTGCTGCATCAGGTTTGCCACAACTACCCGTTTAAGCTGAGGGATGAAGGGGAAACTAATCGCAGGGGAGGCAGAGGGCGCAGTGTTGCAGCGTTTTCTGTGTGTACTCATTTCCTCTTTCTCTTCATGCCTTCCCACCCCAGCCATCGCCTCTCCCAGAGTGCAGGCTGGTAGGATGCTAGTCTTACCAAGGTAGATTTTAGAAACGGTTTAAAGAGATGAGCAGTAGAAACCGTTGTTCCTGACAGGATTTCCTTTTTGTTATGCTTTGATTTTGACATTTGTCAGCAATGAAAAAAAATCAGTATGTTTTCCTTCATAATAAGGATATAAAAGATTCGTGAGTTATTCGTGCACCTGCAGCAGTGCACATGAATATGTCAACAGATCACTGTGATCTAACACAGGATTCTGTGCTAATATTTTTATAAATGATATAGTTAAGTATCCTGTTTATCAAATTGATAGACAATGACACTAGAAGGAATTATGAATGCCTTTCAGAGACTGAATCAGGACCTAAACAATTTCAGCTAGGCAGGTAGTCAAATGTAACTTGTAAGTCCAGTTCCATAAACCAACTGCTTGAATTCAAAATGGAGGTTGTATGATTTAGTAAGTGTTAAAAAGACCTGGGGAATTTTAGAGATTATAAGTTAAATTGGTGCGAATAAGGCTGTCAAGTGTCTAAGTAAGGAAAGAGATAGTCTGCCACTTTGTCCTTCAGTTATTTGGTCTTGGTCCAATTTTTTTTTTTTTTTTTTTTTTGAGATAGGGTCTATGTAGCTCAGGCTGGCCTCAAACTCAAACCTCAGCCTCCTGAGTGGTGGGATTACAGATGTGTCCCCACACACACTGAGTCCAACTTCTAAAAGAGTAAACTGTTAACTCATTCAGAGGGAACTGAAAATTCAGAATACTGTTTTTTCTTTTTGTGGTACTGGGGTTTGAACTCACGGTCTCATGTTTGCTAGGCAGGTGCTCTACCACTTTGAGTCTCTCCACCAGCCCAGAATACTTTCTTGAGAAACAATTGTAAGAGCTGTTTAAGAATGAAGAGATTACTTAGGGATTGCCATCTTAACTTACTAGGGGGACTCTGAGGAAAAGGTATTGACCTTGTTTCATCATTCTGGAAGACAGAACAAGAACCAATGGGTTCAAGTTACAAGAAGTTAAGATTTTGTCAAGGAGGAAGAATATTAAATGTTTACAAAACGATATATGAGGAAAGACATTGCATTGAAGCAGACTGGGCTTCATTTGTAATGTCCAAGAGAAATCATATTATCAGGTCATATAAGATCTTTCCAAGTATGAGATTTTTATTAAGGCACCAAGTATCTTACAATCTTTTTTTCAATGTTTTTTTGGGAGTACTGGGGTTTGAACTCAGGGCTTCACACCTGCTTCACACAGGCATTTATACTGCTTGAACCACCACCTCCAGTCCCTCGTTTTTATTTTACTTATTTTTTGTGGTACTAGGGCTTGAACTCAGGACCTTCACCTTCAGCCCCTCCACCAACCCAACTTTTTGTGATATGGTTTTTTGAGATAGGGTCTCTCAAACTGTTTGCCTGGACTGGCTTTGAACTGTGATCCTCCTTATCTCTGCCTCCTGAGTAGGTAGGATTACAGGAATGAGCCACTGGTGCCCAGCTCGCTTTTATTTTTGAGACAGGGTCTTGTTATCTAGCCCTCACTGGCTTCCAACCTCAGCCTCCCAAGTGCTGGTATTACAAATGTGCACTACTATGACAGGCTTCAATCTCTTTTTTTTTTTTTTTTTTAAAGTTGTCAATTTTGTGTAAGGAAGAGCTCTGGACAAAGGAATTAAACATACATTGTACTGATACACAAATGGAAGGTGAGTACCTTATAAAAAGGGAAAGTGTGTTCTATTTTATTGTGGAAATGGATTTCTTTTTCCTTTCAAATATACAAATATAATTGTCTAATGTTTCCCAACAAATCTAATAAATTGAGGCAGAAGTTCAAAAATTAACAGCCACAATAGTTTATTTACAATTGAACTCTTTATAAGATATTTACAAGACAACCAATTTTACACATCAGAAATGGTATCAAAAGTATGAATTACAACACAGACAACAATATGAAATGAGCATAAAACAAAGCTGAGGTGGACAGACAAGCAATTTCTCTTAATTTATTAACACTAGCTTAAACTTTGTTAAAGAAAGAAACAAGGAACGATGTTTTAGGAGAATTGTAGGGCCTTCGGTTGAAGATTGATTTTCACAGTGTTGTATCCCACGTAGGGAAAAATAAGACTAATTTTCCCCCTATACTCTTTTAACACACTGTAATTTCGCTCTTGGAACTTGCTCAAAACCTCCTTCTCAACTAACCTCAACATATCCAAATCAAAGGAGCTCTAGAAGAGGGGATAATAAAATAAAAGGTCCTCAGGGAATGGAGAACCAAGGAAATAGAATCCACTTAAGTCTGGCCAGATAGCACCTCATGGATTCCTTTCAATCTAGCGAAAGCAGTATCTGAGGTGTCGCCTATGTAGGGCAGAAACATAAAGGTTAAGTTTTTAACCCATATCCCATATTAGGAATCTGACAAATGTTGAAATCAAGAAGAAATGAAGGATCGAGGAACTAAGTAAAGAGACACTGATTGGAGTATTTTTTTTTTTGGGGGGAGCACATTATAAAGAAACATAACGTAGGTCAGAGCAGGAACACTAAACAACTTGCCACATTAAAATAATGGAAAACAAAATCTGGCCCAGTTTTTCTAAAAATCTCCTTATCTTTACGGTGTGAGATGAGAGCCCCTAGTGGAATAAGTCCTCTTTCTGTTTATATCCTTGCTGCAATGAAGTTTACAGCAGGTTCCCGTATAGAGAGCCCACTCTCCTAAGCAAATGGAGTTACAAAGGAAAACCCACAGCCACACACACGCGCACACATACACACACAAAAGGAGAAATAAGAGCAGCAAGATCATTCAAGAATATAACATGTGCTGCCAGAATTCCTTTCAAATCAAACCCAGGGAGCACAGATCAACATCTCACAAAAAACTGTAGCAGTGGGAGGCCCCTGAGGAACTTTTCTTCTCTTCCCACAATGGTATGCCATTCTCTTATGCTCCCCTGATGGGCCAGCCACACATCCTACATACCTTGGCTTCTCCTCTAAAAGTGCTAATAATCTGGGGACATATTCTCTTTAAGGATAAAAGCCCCTACCTTCTAGGAGATCAGACCCCTACTTGTTTTCACACAATAGTCCTGAAGACTAATGAAAGGCAATTCCAATATTTAAGACCAGAGGTCTTGGCTCTATTTTCCTTCCAGATAGTTAACAGTGATCTTACACTGAGACCAAAGTGGCCTGGGAGTCCTGTCCTTAAATTTTTCAACAAAATGGGGCAGGGGAGGGAGATCAAGATGGTACACATACAAATCTAATTTTACAAAATGAATGGAGAAGCTCTTTAGGTACATCTGTTTGTTTCAAAGATGTAAACATCTGCCTGCCAAAGGAAGCACGTATCTCACACCCTCCTCCCCACCTTCCCTAAATCTCTACCCCACCACCAAGAGCTCAGTTAAGAGGATAAAGCCCAACTAAGGAATACTTGAGAAGTGATGTGACAGAAGGACATCTGTATAAGTTCTTGCCTGTCATCCCCAAATGACAATTGCTTTTATTTAGCACTGTAACTTGTATGAAACTAACATCTCCATTATCTTTTCCAAAGATTTTATTTTCTAGTTTCCCACTGAAGTGGGAGAACTTCAGTTACCCATTAACTAAGAAAATAATCACAGTCACACATCCCTTCCCACATGGCTACATCACAGAACAGTTTTAAGAGAACAATCATCTTTTTGGATACTTATCTACCAACTCTCCAATTTCTCTCCTACTCTGTGACAATGACTTGCTTCATCACTTCACTTGTTAGTCCTCATCTGGTCCTAAAGCTCATGGTGAAGTCTTTCTTGTTTTATTTTAGGATAAAAATCACTACACCCAAACTATACATAGGGTATGCCAGGGCAAAAAGAGTGCCAGGCAGGCACAGCTCCTAAAGGCAGGGGCTTTATCTTCCACATGACTAATGAAGACAGCCCTTGTACGCCTTTAACATAGGCAAATGTATAAAAACTCTGAAACTTACAAATCTACCATCCTATAGACTTCATCTCCCCAAAAAGGGAAAAGAAATCATCCTCCATAATTCACAAGTAGTCCAATGAAAGAGTTTTTGTGAATCAGAGTGATGAAAACAAAACTAAAGTCAAGGGAGTATGGAAGAGCATTATCAGTGAATGATAACATACATGAGGACATAGGTCACATATACAGGTCTCTGCCACTCTCTGGGAATGGCATGCTACAACTATCTGAAGACAGAGGGTTCTTGCCAGCACAGCTATTTCCTACACGTCCGGTGAGGTGTTTGCTTCTTCTGGATTTCCAACCTGCATCGGCTACGCTCATCCAACCAGGGCAGCTCAAAATTTCTGACAAAAAAGGAATAAGGAAATCAAATTCCAAGACTAGAAGAGATTTAGTGTGGAGAAGCTATTAACTCCAAAAAAAAAAAAAAAATCATGTCTTTCACCACTTCTATCCCTGACTGAGAAGTCCCAACTTTGGAGAGTCTTTCCTGCCTCAAAGCCACAGCAATTGTGTACCATTAAAGTGACAGAATAATACATTTCTATCTCAAAAAACAATCCTAATTCCTGGCTTGTTTGTTGCCCAGGTAGCCTCACTCCTATCAAAGAACAATGGCTAGCCCTATCTAAGCATCTAGTTCGACCTTTTATCTAGGCTTTCATGGAGTCTGAAAAGGAGGTGCACGCTGAGAGGAAAGGAAAAGAACCTTTATACTTACTGTGGAGTTAATTTTGGTAATGGTCGCCCAAATGCTACGACAGGCAAGAAGGGGGTAATCATCAAACTTTCAACTATGGAAGAAAAGTCAAATGGGACCTTGTTAGTGATACAATTGAGAAATGTATAGCAAAACATTTTATTCAACAGTTCCAAAACAGTTTACTCAACAGAACAAGCTCTATCCTGGAGCTTTGCACCCTTTTTTCTTCTTTGAAAACCAACTTTTTTAAGATAGGCAAAACTTACCATCATCTGGCTCAGGGAAAAATGAGGTAACCTCAGGCTCAGATTCCTGAATTCCTTTCTTTTTATACATTCTGAGCTGCAGTCGTTGTAAAATTCTTTGTTCCCTGATCCTCTGAATATCCCATCTGGAAAAACCAGAGAAAAACAAAAAATAAACCCAACATTACTGCTTAGCAAAAATCTGTTCTATAAAAGCAACTCACACAATTCAGATGCTAGGAAGATTCTTGTTGACTCCTCTAGGTGGGCTAGAGAACTGACTGCTTAATTAAGGGAGAGGTGCTTAGGTCTAGCAGTCCAGGTCATGTGTTGGTGTTCCACAGAAAATGGAACTGAGGAAGGACATACATGAAAAAAAAGACACCAAACATGTTTATCTATAATAACTACCACTTTCAGCTCAGATAACTCAATTCATTGGGAAGCTAGTAATGTAGGCATGTTAAGAGCTCCAGGACTCTCCACAGCATGAAAGTGGGAGGTCAGGGTCCTAGGGCTCAGCTGTTCCCATGAGGACATCTGTGCCTTACCTTTTCCTTCTC